AGCGCAATCTCAAATAACCAAATTTTCTTTTATTTTTAATTCAGAGAATGAGAAAACCATCACTTGTTATGTAATGTGAAGATTAAGCTTAAAACTCTTTTAGCTTGTTTTACAACATAAGTTAAATGATCATGGAGGGAAGTCACAACCTAACACCTGGATGGGGAGGGGGTAAGTCTAAAGCTACTATGTGAAACTCATCTGTAGCTGAAGATTACTCTTGAGAGACTAAAAGATGCTACTAATAGCTGCCTTTGGGGAAGGGAGTAGGAGTCAGAAGTAAAAAGAAGTACATGGGGCACCTGGGTGGCTCTGTAGGTTAGGTGTCTGACTTCAGCTCAGGTCATGATATCATGGTTCATGTGTGGGGTTATTCCCCACATTGGGCTCTATGCTGACAGCTCAGAGCCTGGAGCCTGCTTCGGATTCTGTCTCCCTCTCTCTCCCTCCCCTGCTTGTGCTCTGTCTCTCTGTCTCTCAACAATAAATAAATGTTAAAAATTTTTTTAAAATACAAAATATTTAGATCTATATACTTTCATACTTAATGAATCCTTTACAACACCATATGCATATATTAGTTATTTTTTAATTTGAAGGAAAAAAAATTACTCTTGACTTTTTAGAAGATATACAACTTTGTTCTAAATCTGAAGCTACCAGTTACCCCCTTCCCATCTGCCCAGCACTAGACCACCAGAAAAAACACCAGATCAAGCAATTGACTTGAGTTTTGGAGCCATATTATAAAAAGATATGTACTTCAAGATATTCTAGAATCATATTTTGAACAGCAGGGGAACCAAGACCACAAATCCATCCTACTCATCTTAAGCTTTATAAAACATACTCTCATGGTTGGTTGGTTGGTTGATTTATTTATTTGACAAAGTAAAGTGCCTTTTTCTGGTAACTTACTTACTGTCCAGCAGCTCCTGTACCATATTCTGTACCCCTCTGCTTTGTGGCACTGGGGCCAGGAATCTGCAAACTACATTTCCCAGGCTTCTGTGCTGGCCAGCTTCAAGTTAGATTCTAACAACTGAAGGTGGGAGGAGGGAAGGGACTTTCTTCCTATTTCCACCTCCTGTGGGCAGTGCTCCAGCCTGAGTGCCCAGCTTCCAGCCCCTCTGACCCATGCACCAGAGCACTGCTCCCTGGGACGTCCCAGCACCAGCTGACCACACCTGCCTCAATGGCCTGAGGCTGGCTCTAGTGGGCACTCTCCCCTGAGCTCCTTTCCCTTTTTACTCTCCTAGTTCCAGCACTGGTAACTGCTTAGTGCATCCCCTCATTGCTCTCTCAGCCTTCCCGTACGTGCAGAACCAACATTGTATATCAAACTGCCTCTGTTTGATAATTGAGCATGCATGGTTTCTGTTTTCTGGAACGGGATTCTAACCAGCTCCACGTGGCTACACTGATGTAAATGAAAAATGCAGAGAGTGTCAGCCTAAGTAGGATGTTGCAGCTTTACTACATGGGGTAGTAGCAAAATTACCCAATGGAACTCTTCGCGAAGATGCCTGATAGGTACTTCCTGTAGGAACCAAGATCCTCAAGGCAGAGAGAAAGAGAGAAAGAAAGGATGCAGGCTCTCAAGGATGAGAATGGAGGGCATTGTACCCTGTTCTCCAGCCCCACCCTACCTATCTAAACCTACAGCTGCTTTGTACCAAAGTGTTGTCATCTTCTAAACATTAGTCATTGTACGTACATTTATCTTAGCGATTTTGATGCCCTTAGATCCCCAAATGGACAAATGTCACCATTCTTACAGGGTACCTAGGGTAGTCCACTTAAATTTATGAAGTGACTTTCAAAATGTTTAAAGAAATTGCACAGTAATTACATCTCTATCCTGAAAAAAATAAGGAAGCCCTTGGCAGATGATAAAATTTCAGTATATTTGGCTTTTATGATTTTAAGAAAAGTAAGATTAATAATAACAACTAAATCTAATATTTGTTGGGAGCACTACACTTAGAGCCTTGCATATATTATATCAGTCCATTTTTACTACATTCTATAAAGTACCCTGTGAATAGTGACTGTTATTGCCAATTTCCAGATGAGGAAACTGGCAATATAATGTAATTGGCCTAAACTCACATAGGTTGCAAAGTAAGTATTTTAATATTAAGTATTAGGCATGGATTAAATTCAAAATGTTGAGAAAGGTTTGGAAACTCTGACCCTACAGAGGTAAATGGTGGGAAAGAGTCCAAGATCCTGGTGTTCTATATTTTGGGGGTTAGGATTTAACTTAGATAAAATTGTAATGAAATTTGATGACTATTTACATCTTGAATTTTTACTTCTTTACTATTCTCCATCAAAGAAGTAGTATAGCATGGTCACAGTAAACATCAAGATACAATGTAGGCTCTGTCAATATAAGATGTGTGGCCTTGAGCAAGTTACTCAACCTCTCTGTGTCCTCATGTATAGGATAGAGATGATAGTACCACTTACACCACAGGGTTGTTGTGGGGGTAAATGAGACAGCCACATAAGGTACTCAGTATTTCCATATAATTTCTGCAGTAGTGAACAGTGATTGGAGGAAGAGTTAGAGCAATTTTTTCACTCACTAAAATATTTAGATATTAAAGAAGCAAGATGGTATCTGAGACAAAACTCTTCTCCCCAACATTATATGTGGATTTCAGAGTAATTCCATCTTAAAAGGTGAAAATAACAATAATATATGGTGGACTTCATGTATATGAATGCTTTATTCTGAGTAAGATCATTTGGAGAAAAACCTCTGAGACCAACAGGCAGACCTGGGAGGTGATTAAGATAGATAGAAGCTTTTAAGTAAAATGAACGGCAAGACTGACAATTATCTTTTTTTTTTTTTAAGATTTTATTTTTAAATAATCTCCACACCCAACATGGGGCTTGAACTCACAACCCTGTGATCGAGAATCATGTGCTCTACCAACTGAACTAGCCAGGTACCCTAATAATTATCTTTAAAATATGATATCATTAAGTGCAAAATGGCAAGCTATATAATAGTGGGAGATATATACTAACATCTGGGTAAAAAAGGGGAACAAATTAAAATATATGTTTGCTTGAATATGTACAAAATAGGTCTGAATGGAGATGGAAATATTGGTTATATTAATTTCTTGCTGCAAAGAGAACTGATGGGCTATTAAATAAGAATGGGCAGGGGGTGGGGGGGCGCCTGGCTGGCTCAGTTAGTTAAGTGTCTGATTCTTGATTTCGGCTCCAGTCATGATCTCACGGTCATGAGACTGAGCCCCGTGTCTGGCTCTGTGCTGAGTGTGGAGCCTGCTTAGGATTCTCTCTCTCTCTTTCTTTGCCCCTCTCTGCTTGTATGCTCCCTCTCTCCCTCTCTCCCTCTCCCCTCCATCTCAAAATAAATAAATATTTAAAAAAATATAAGAATGGCAGGGAGACTAGTCACTGAATGCCTCTTTATAACTTTTGAATTTTGAGCCGGAGGAATATATAATCTACTGGGAAATGATGTAAAATAAAGAAGAAACTGAACATTAAGGAAGTAGAAGAAAAGTAACATGTTATGTGCCAGATGAGGAAGGTCAATTTTTCTTTTCTCTTGGGTAAAATATACATAACAGAAATTCTTCATCTTAACCCCTTTTAAGTGTACAGTCCCCACAGCATAAAATACGTTCACATTGTTGTGCGACCATCACCGTTATCCACGTCCAGAATATGTCCATTGTCCCAAACTGAAATTCTGTACCCCGCAGGAAGCTGGATTTGTAAACTCAATCCTCAAAATAATCCTGTGGGGGACAGTTAAGGAAATAGGCTCAGGAACATCACGTCAGACTACCGGCCTCTGCTCTTCCCTACTCCTTCCCTCTGCCTTTGGGCAGTAGGGAGGGCAGTTAGCTTCTAGGGGGAGTTAGGGGGTAGGCATGGAGGCAGAGGCTGGCTTTGGGCATGTGCCTCCTGCTGTGCCTTCTAGTACCATGCACCGATGACACAAGTTCTTTTAGGAAACTTGGCAACTTGTGCTATGGTAACCTGTAGGTTATATTTTTAAAAAAAAAGCATTTGACTCATTGCTACTAGACAAAATTTAATTGCCCTTTAGAAGTGCACTCACAGAATGCACTGTGAAATAAATCATCGTTGTGAAAACGTACCCCACGCCTGGCTGTTAGATGTGCCTTAGAGTTGGTTCATTGTGAATAGATTTATTGGCCATCACGTCAGGAAGTTATTATTCAAAGGGCACCTGCATGATATGGCACAACAAAAAAGGGAGAAAAGAATGACTCTTCTCCATTGAGAGAAGGAAATTTCTAGCCGGGTAAGCCAAGCTGAACAGATGTGAAAAACAAGAATTGGTTTGATCTTATCTTTGAACAGCAGAAAACACTGGGCTGAACTGAGAAGCCTGCCGAATTATCTACCAGTTTTTGAAATGCATGATTAAATAACCAACAATTATGCTGAAACTAATGCACATTCTTTGCTCATGATGTGGTGGTGTGAGTGATCGCTTTCTACACGACCAGGCACTTTGGTCTTGCTCTCCCTCACTCCCCCATGTATGAGCAGTGATTCACATTTTTGTTCTCATCTGGTTCCTCAACGGTGTTGAACACACCATAACACAAACCCATAGCCTGGGTCATTCTTGGATGTCCGCTCCTTTTTTGAGACTCAAAATGTGCATTAGGAATTGAGGGCACTTTGTGTTTGATTGTGTGTGTGTGTGTTTGTTCAATTATCCTCATGCTTTGAGTCACACATTTGATTTAGAGAACAAAAATAATCTAATAATGCCTACAGACAAAATATCTTCATTAGTTTTAAAGTCACATTTAACAGGAGTTCCAGAGCCATTCATTTGAAACTCTGGTTCCACACATGGCTCTATCGTCCAAAATGGCCAGATCTTCCAAATCTTCTGGAAAAACAAAAGCGTTACGTTTCTTGAGTTTTGGGTCCCTATTTCAAAGGACAGAAAGGGAGGCTGTTACCTGGATCCCAATGGAGAGGCATCGATTTTTCTTGAAGTGATCCTTCTTCCTGTCCTCTGTAGTGACAGTGGCTATGGTGGTCGTGGTGGTGACAGTGGCAGGGTTGTTGCTCATGTGTTGACTTGCAGGGCCGTGGATCTGGGCATTTGCAGCTTCGATGGCGGCTGTCAGAGCCTTCATACTGTCCAGGCTCTCCGTGGAGTTGCTCAGTCCAGACTGGCTGATAATATCTCCTCGCTGGCCCTGTCCGTCCATGTAGGCATCCTGGGCAGACTCTGTGCTACTCTGGGCTGTGATAGAAATGAAAGGTTTCGTGGTAGTTCTGGGTGGGACTGGAGGTGGTGTCTTCTTATATGTTGTAATGCAAGATGACACTGGAAGACAGTGAAAACAAAGACACTGTGATTTCTGTGTGGGTTTTAATTTCTGTATTGTAACTAACATCCACTGGAAATTGGGCACATGAAACACACGGAGACACTGAACATGAAAACAAGACCACTGATAGTCAGCAAGATCTCTGCTTAGAGAGGGTATCTGGGCCTCCTGTGAGGTGACCTGCCCACAAGATTGAGGGGAAAAGAGACTGAAAAACACCAACCTCTGAAATGGAACCTTCTGAAATGGAAATTAAATGAATCGACATAAAATCTGTAGAAATCTTCCCAGGCAACAGTACACCCAGAGAGATAATCAATTATATGCATCGATAAGCCCAGCATAGTGGCTGCCTTCTCAGGAATATATTAAATACAGCTAATGTTAAACAAGGAAACCCATTGGAGAAGATTGTGGTGGTTGATAATAAACACTGAAAAAGGAAGGAGGGAAGCAAAGAGTTGTGAGCAAGTGTGATCTAATCCCAACAGCAGTGGGAAGCATGGGGGGTGGAGGGGGGTGGAGGGGGGTGGAGGTGTGGTGCACACACAGCTGTCTCAGCTTCCTGGCACTTGGTTCCTCCCTCCCTCCCATCTCTCCCTCTCTCCCTTCCTGTCTTTGTCTCTTCCCTCCCTCCAGCCCTCTTCTCCCTCCCTCCCTCCCTCCCTTCCTTTCTTCCTTCCTTCCTCTGGTCACTATATAAACTACTCTTCTGAATTTTTTTGTTGTTGTTTCTGAGCAGAACTATCTTCCAAGAGGGAATACACTGCACAAAACTCTCCTATTATAGTCTCCTTTGTTTCTAAATCTGTGTTGAGAGGTGCAGTGTGGGGAGTGGCTTATATGAGCCTACTCCCTAAAATTCTGTCCTTCAAGGCAACTTAATCAACTCAGGGGCCCAAGTCTTGCAGAAAGGTGTCCTTTCTGGACCTGTCCAATTTAGTAGAGGTCCTCCTCACGGCTCTGTCTGAAGTAGCCTCTGGTCTACTCTCTGACTACCTGATTATAACTCTGAGGTTATATGAAGACGTCTTACACACTGGTTTTCAGCCTTGTATTTGTGAAGCATGATGTATAAAATACAGATCAAAAAGAATGTTAAAGTTTTCAAGTGAATTCCCTGCCAGAAGGGAACAATTCCTAACAAGCTTTCTAAAGACTTCAGTTATCTTAAAAAATGATTCAAGGTGGGACGCCTGGGTGGCTCAGTTGGTTAAGCAACCGACTCTTGATTTTGGTTCAAGTTAAAACCTCATGGTTCGTGACATGGAGTCCCTCATGGGACTCTGCACTGACAGCTGGGAGCCTGCTTAGGACTCTCTCTCTCAAAAGAAAAAAAAAGCTTTGAAAAGTAAAAAATAATTTAAAAAATGATTCAAATTATTATTCTGTTTTTGTCACTTTCCCCTACCACCGTGTTTTCCATTCACAGCAGATGGTCACTGTTAGAGCAGATCGGCTACTCCTGAGCACACAATCCCAGCTCGGGTTTGAGCTGCCACTTGGGCCATCTCACTAAATGAAATACTTGCTTTCATTGGTAGGATGTTTCCTGAGGCCCCTGAAAGGAAGCATCTTATAAGAAACAATAACCAGAAGGATCGTATGATGCTGTGCTGGTCTTCCACTGCCCTGTGATTTGGAGTGACTTTCTCAGCTATAAAAGAGATATTTTGCTATTTCCTAGGGATCACCTGATGCAACATCAAGATATCATATATGCTCCGGAGGTGGGAGTGATGTAAGCAATATAAATGTAGCCACCACTCAGTTACCCAGGATGCACAATTGCCAGAGGCTCACGCGGGGAAAGCCTTCCACCTACGCTTAGTGCACGAGCGATACATCCTTTAGTTTGAACAGAACTCAGCAATTCCCAGCCCAATGCCCACAGGTTTTAGCTCAGGCACGGGAAGAAGTGATGCAACCAGCGGAGGCTCACAGTGCCCACCTGCAAGGGGCGGTGCCAGGAGCAGAGCCACCAGGTCTCAGGTTCTGCCCCTGGGCTCCAGGGAGGCCTGGGGCTGAGTGTGCAGACGCCTGCAGTGCTGAGTTTTCACCTCACTCAATTTAGTGTCTTGCACTGTCCCAGCCCCCCTCGCCAAGGAGCTACCTCCTGTTTCTTGGAGACATTCAAGGGATAACCCCCTCAGGGTGACGCTGAGTCTTAGTTTTTCCTTGGAAGACAAGAGCCGGGTGATGACCATAAGGAGGATAGAACCAATCTCTCTGTTCAAATCTAGTGAAACCGGGTCATTTATTCCTTCTCCTAAGACAAGTCTTTACAGTGTGAACTCATTATTTTGTTGAAAATGGATGCTCAGGACATTCGGCCCACTCATATTCCCAAGAAACAAAATGCCACATTCTAACAAAGAAACGTCTGATCTTTGGGGTTGCTCAGGGCATGTTGTTAGCTACCCTGCTTCCCCTTTCAGTGTGGAAAACTGCACGCCAAGTGGAGTACGATTTCATTTGCTGTGATTTACAGGAGAAATCTTGCCGTGACGTGATTAAGTGTGATATGGGGCATATAGAAAGGACGGCGTCCCATTATTTCCAGTGTAGTGACAGGGTTTGGGGACACTCCCCAGGGCCAACTGCAATTTGGTGCCATCTGGTGGCTGTTGGCAGGGGACTTCCAGATCAATAGGGTTAATTGAATATTTTGATCATCAGGGACCAGCAGTATAGTGGCAGCAGTGCTAGACATCCACTGGGGTTAGATTGGACAGGGACAGTCCTGGGGACATGGCTTTCCCAATAGGCTGGCCAAGCCCCAGTGCCCAAGGAGGTAAGAATGTGAGATTGCTCCACCTTGAATAAGGGAGCTGAACGGAGAATGGGAATCGTTTGCTATGGTGTTATATTCGAGGGGCTTCAGTATGAGATTTTCCTGTTGTGGAGCTTGGCACAATTCTGCCAGAGTTATCAGAGTTACATTCAAAGAAGCACCACCCATCAATTATCGACTAGAAGTTGAAAAGGAATGCCAATGTCTGCCCACGAAGAAGGAAGATCTAAGACCCGACTCACACTTCCCACAACCCCCTTTCTTCTCATGCCCCAATTCTTCTGCATTCGAGACTGCTTCAGAAACTTATACAACCAAATGCCCATCTTCCCCTTGTATCACTCTTTCCTGGTTTTACAGGCTGGGCTCTACATTCTTTCTTCTCTCCTAAGATTATTTTTTCCCCTAATTCCACTCTTACAGTTCAGCACTACAAATAATTAAAAATTTTTTAAATGTCTATTTTTGAGAGAGAGAGAGAGCGCGATTGTGAGTGGGGGAAGCATAGATAGAAGGAGACACAGAATGTGAAGCAGGCTCCAGGCTCTGAGCTGTCAGCACAGAGCCTGACATGGGGCTCAAACCCACAAAGCGTGAGATCATGACCTGAGCCTAACTCTGATGCTCAACCAACTGAGCCACCCAGGTGCCTCCGCCATGAATAATTTAGAATCCACTGGAGTCACAGTGCCAGGAGGGGTGCAGTAGGGTGAGGGTCAAGGAAATGAAACACAAGTAAATAAATCTTGTTTGGTCAAAACAGAGAAAATGAATGGCTTATATACCATAAGTGAAACCTTTCTCTTGTTTGAGAGCAACATTCTCAAAATGGTGATTTAAAAATGCAAGTACTCCTTTTATTCAATTGGGACTTGAAAAAGAAAAAGAAATGGTTAATATTTTAACCATCATTATTGTTGCTTTCCTTTGCCTGATATGTTATTTGTTCATTTCAAATAAAATTATTTTTTCCCCTTACTTAGATCCTGATGATTTACTACCCCTCCTCAAAGTGGGTGAAAGGACTCCCATTTACAAGAGTCAGTAAGAGCGAAGCTACAGATTTTGATGACATCACTTTCATCCAGAAGATACTGCAGAGCATACAGATCAGAGACTGGTTTTTACATTAAGTTAAGAAATTATTGGAGGGTGCCTGGGTGGCTTAGTCGGTTAAGCGTCCGACTTTTGCTTAGGTCATGATCTCGCGGTTCATGGGTTCAAGCCCCGCATCGGGCTCTGTGCTGACTGCCAGCTCAGAGCCTGGAGCCTGTTTCAGTCTGTGACTCCCTCTCTCTCTGACCCTCCCCTGCTCACACTGTCTCTTTCTCTCTCTCTCTCCTAGAAATAAATAAAACATTTAAAAAAATTAAAAAAAAAAGAAATTATTGGAAAAGGAAGAAGAGATGGAGTTGGAGGAGGAGGAGGAAAGGGGAGGGGGAGAGAGGAGCAAAAGAAGAAAAAGAAAAGACATTAAAAAAAAGAAAGAGAGAGGCAGAACAAATTCCTATCCTATTTCAGCTTCTAGCTGACTTCTTCAATATTGTCTCTATTTGCATGGAAAGATACGGCTAGTGTTAAAAGCCTTGGGAAGGCCCATGCCAATAATAATTTCGTTTGTAGTAGTGAAGGTTTTCTGAAGAAAAAAAAACATCTAGACTTTCTTATCACTCTGGTTATCCTTTGTGATCAAGAACACACACGTGTCAGGGTGCCTGGGTGGCTCAGTCGGTTGAGTGTCCAACTTTGGCCCAGGCCATGATCTCATGCTGTGTGAGTTCAAGCCTTGCATCAAGCTCTGTGCTGACAGCTCAGAGCCTAGAGCCTGCTTCAGATTCTGTGTCTCCCTCTCTCTCTGCCCCTTCCCCACTTGTGCTCTGTCTCTCTGCCAAAAATAAATAAACATCAAAACAGATTTTTTAATAAAAAAAAAAAGAACACACATGTGTCAAGTGGCCACAAAACAGATGTAAGATCAAACTATGTTTTGTATGGTGTTAATAATACATTCTGACTGGCTAAGCTAATGGGTCACACACTAAAGAGTTGCACTGAGGAATTATTTAGCACTTCCCGGTTACTGAATTTTAGAAACTCTTTCAAATACTATAATAAGCTCCTGGGAACTACAGATAAAATCACAAAAGGACAACAAAAGAATTCCAAAGTATACATATACATAAAGTTGTACACTAGTCAAAAGATACCTTTTTTAAAATGTCTATTTATTTTTGAGAGAGAGAGAACGAGTGGGAGAGGGCAGAGAGGGAGACACAGAATCCGAAGCAGACTGCAAGCTCTGAGCTGTCAGCACAGAGCCTGCTGCAGGGCTCAAACCCACAAACAGATATTGTGACCTGAGCTGAAGTCTGACGCCTAATGGACTTGAGCCACCCAGGCGCTCCATGATATCTTTTTGATGAATAAACAAGTTATTCTAAGATGTTATTAACCACAAAGCTAGCTGCCCTCAGTAGTGGCAGGCTTCTACACAGAAGTCACGGTCAAAGCAATCTTGGATTTGCTCAGTTGTATCAGATGGTCTGCTCTTACTGAGCTGAAGACCACCAAAGAGAGGTCTGCCTCAACCTACAGTCTAGTTTCTGTTGAGGGCAAAGGTTTTTGGATTTGGGTGATTTGGTCCAGCCAACCACAGTTTACTAAGCCCTCAAAAGGAGATTAAACAAAAATCAAATGGGTTTAACACTCTCGGGGGTGGGGGGTGGACGGGAGGTGGGCTGGACCTGGCTTTTATCAGCTTGATAGATAATTGTGCAAATCTCTTCCCAAGTCTGTGTTTAATGACATTTCATTTATAGCTTGAAACTTTGGTGTGAATGTTTACACAATGGAAATTAGGAAATACTACCCCTGCTTTAGGGAGCCAGTTGTTAAGCATTTCTGACACACCTGTGTGCATAGAGTGGCACTATTCAAAGTGTGGCCCACAGACAGGTGTCAATTCACAAACTACTCGATGAATTTATAGTGAGATACGCCGTGAAAATTCACTTTTACAAACTTATACAGCAATCCTAAAGACTATCTCATGGGTTGACTCTAACAAAAAAAAAGATGGTGGCTTGTTTTGGGGTGCCCCATTTTTTTAAATTTCCTTTTCCCAGTGATTTATTTTGTTGCATTTTAACCAAAATATTGATCTGTAACAGATTGGACATCAAACAAACAAACTAGTCCATCACGAGCAATAGTTTGAGAAGCACTGACAGAGAACATTTGTACATCCAGTGGACAGGGTAGAGGTGGTGTGTGTGGGATTAAGAACATATTAGGGAAATAATGTGGAAACTACAGGCTATTTTAGAATGCAGAATGACATGAAGAGGCCAAAAGAAAAAAAGGAATGTGGAAGGATGTAAACTTAGGACATAAGGGGACGACTGCACAAATACAAGATTGTGGTTTTAGTATCAGGTCAGCCGTCTGTTTCGAAGAGGGGGTGTATGAGTACAAGTGTGACATCTAGAACAATGGAAGAATAGTTGTGCTGCATTTCATTCTGGGCTCTTCTCTTTAAGGGGAAATTGCAGAGTGCTCTGAGGAAAGAAAAGCCGTATCTTATGAAGAGTGGATTAAGGGAAGAAGATGTTTAGTTTGCAAGAGAAGTAAGACAGAAGAATTTCCGATGATCTTGAAGGCTCTTGTGTAGAAGTTGGGATGGACAAGTTCTATGAGACCCCATGAGAAACCACAAAGGTAAGAGCTCAGAGAGGCACTAAGAATAATTCTGGAGCTAGCAGTTGTCCAAAGGTGGTTGGTATATGGAAACCTTCCTGGATAGCGAGCTCTTGGTCTCTGGAGGTATTTAGTGCAGACCAGTTCATCTTTTGGCTGGGAAGTTATCAAAACTGTACAACCATCTGGGGCGCCTGGCTGGCTCAGTGGGATAGAGCATACAACTCTTGACTTTTGGGGTCTGAGTTCAAGACACATGTTGGGTATAGACATTACTAAAAAAAAAGTAAACTTAAAAAATAATATTTAGATAAATTAAAAGTTGTATCACCATCTGTTGGGGGCCTGAGGTAGATGGCAAGATTTCTTTCAAACTGGAGCTCCTGTGATTTTTATGAATAGTAATAAAAGCTAGAAAAGAACTTGAGAAGTAGAGGCCCATTGAGAGTGAAGTGAAGCCAAGAGAGGAGGTCAGGGAGAGTTACCAACAAGGCTGTTTGGTAGCAATGACGAATGTTCTGGCATCCTGGGAATGCATTTTGGCACAGATGAGGGCAAAGCTGCTACTAAGAGAAATCTGTGCCTGCTGCTTCACATCAAATAGGCCCAGAAGTGCTGAGCCACCAAGGAATTGGAGGTGGTGCTCCCCACAGTGATAGGCTATATGGGCTGGATCCCCCTCCCAGTGCCAAACAAACCAGTGTCTGGCTTGAGTCCTTCATAGAATAAAAGCACAAACACAGTGGAAACAAAGATGATTAAGAAGGGACATTAATCCAGACTTTTTTTTTAAGTTAGCTCTACACCCAACCTGGGGGCTTGAAGTCACCACCCCAAGATCAAGAGTCATGTGCTCTACCAGCTGAGTCTGCCAGGTGCTCCTTTAGTCCAGACCCTTTATTTTTATTTATTTATTTTGAGAGACAGCGTGCACGTATGTGAGTGGGGGAGGAGTAGAAAGTGAGGGGGGAGAGAGAGAGGGATAGAGAATCCCAAGCAGGCTCCCAGCTGTCAGTGCAGAGCTGGGCAGGGGGCTTCATCCCAACAACCGAGAGATCCCGACCTTAGCAGAAATCAAGAATCCGCAGGCTTCCCTGACTGAGCCACCAGGTGCCCCATAGTCCAGACTTTTGATGTGCCATTAGATCAACCAAATCACCAGAACGTGAATCCTTACACTGTTTCACACTGTGCTAAGAATTTAATAGACATGGTCTCATGTCACAGGAAGCTCTTGCTATCCCCATTCGCTTGATGGTAAGACTGAGGCTCAGGGCATGTAACTGAAGTGCCTAATTCATACACTACTAATAGTGGAGTTAGCATAACTCAGAGGTCCCTCAGCCAAACCACTTGTATTCATCCACCCATTGAACCTCCCATTAAACACCTTGTCCATGGGGCTCCTGGGTGGCTGAGTCCCCTACCCACCTACTCTTGATTTCCGCTCAGGTCATGATCTCAAAGTCTGTGGGATCCAGGCCCCTCTTGTACCCCCCACTGCCACCTTGGGCTCTGTGCTGACAGCTTGGGATTCTCTCTGTCTCCCTTCCCTCTCGCCCCCCGCCCCAATAAATTAAAAAACTTTAAAAAGCCACCTTGTCCATAAAGCATAATTCTTCCCCGGAGAAAGTGCCCGCAAAGGGCCCCCAACACAGTAGTGTCACCCTGTGGGAACCTGACAAAGGTGTGGAGAATGAACGGACTCGGAGTGGTCAACAAGGGCTGCTTCAGCTGCGTCTTTCAAAATACTGCAAAAAGGGAGGAACTTCTCAAAACAAAATACACACGGAAAAATCGCTCCCCTGTTTCAAAATATTTACAGCCGAACATCTCCAGGCCACCCAGCGTGCGGTGGTCAGCGGTCCCTGCAGCGCCGGCCTCCCGCCGAGAGGCACCCCGCTTCTCGCCTTCTCTCCGGGTTAGTGTTGGCCGGCGGGACGCGGCTGCGAGAACGGTCGCCACCAAAGCCATCCAGCAAGGGAACCGCAGGGAATGTGGACAGAGAGGGAGGGGTGCTGTAATAACTCTTTAGTCATAAGACTTGCCAGTTGGTAGTTGCTAGTATTCCAGACACTTCCTAATGCCAGACAAATGCCCCAAGCCTCGGCATGTCTGGCTTGGAGATCTATTCATCCGATAGCAGCCCGGCTCTTGCGGGAGAACAGATCTGCGCTCCGCTGCTAATCAAACACAACATTGTTCTCAGGAGGAAGAATGGAAAGGTTTGTTTCAAAAGTCACAACTTTTTTTTTTTTCTTTCTAAGAGGCACCCAAGTTATTTTAACAAGTTGCTACAAAACTCGGGCTTCCTGAGGTGAGCCTGTTGCGCACAGAGCATGTACTGTACCAAAATCCAGGGAGGGAGGGATCAGAGTTAGTCATTAAAAAAGAAAAAAAAAAAAAAAAAGCCCCAGGCACTTCATGCCTGGAAATGATGTAACAGGCAGCCACTCCTCTGTTAGAACTACAACCAAACAATGCTCAGGCAATCCACGGCAGCTGCTCTCCAAATGTCAGCGCCAGCCCGGTCCAAAGAGCTTGAAAGGCACCAAGCTGGAGGACTTTGTTCTGTACCTTTCTCGCCCACATTTTCCCCAAGCACTCCCAGGAACCTGGCAACAGGTAACGCGGCAACCTTTGCCTTGTAAAATGGCAAGTGGCATAATTTCAGAGAACAGATGGATATATTTTTTTAAAGCCAGCTGCATCTCCCCCACCACCACCTCCATACCCCGCCCCACACCCCAAATCCCCAGCCCCCCAGCCAAGAGTCTGAGAAAAAGGTATTGCTTGCAGGCAGCCGTACTCTCTCGAGTGCCGCCTTGTGGCCAAGCTCGGAACATCAGCGATGTACTTTGAACTCCGCGGCTCGGCTCCAAGGTAAGTCCCGCTGTGGAAAGGGGTGGACTTTTTTTTTTTTTTTTTTTGCTAGTCTTGCCTTCCAAAAAAACATAAAGCGTGTTGGTCACGATTCAGAATGTCTCTTGCTTTTGAACTGGTCGCCTTCACAAAAACTTTCCCCTCGCTGCGGCTAAGATCTCCGGGTTCAGGTCGTGGGTTTTGTTTTGTTTGGAACGGGAGCTAGGGTAACATTTTTTTTATGGTGGCAAGTTGAAAGGCAAGCAAGAACCGCCCTAGCCATTTGGTTAGGTGGATGGCAGCAAGGAGTAATAGCCAAGAAACCGAGGATTCCTGCTGGGTAGGAGTTGCATTTTCTGTGTTTAATTTTTATCTAACTTTGTAAGTTGTACGCAGAAAACGTTCTCTTGGGTAGAAGCGTTTCTCATTCTCCTCTCTGGCTTCCACTTCGTCTACTTGCAAGTTTTATTTAGGATTTCCAGGCTGCAGGCCCAGCCCATGGCTTGCAGTACCAGTTTTGCTGTTTTATCTCTGTGTGGGGCAAACACCCACAGAAATGCCGAGGGCATTATTTTTAACCAGCCTTCTTCCTCTCAAGTACTCACTCCCCCTTCTGATGTCTCTGATTTGGAGGACTGGCCACAGTTGCGAGCCGCTGTTAGCCCCAGCCAGTTGCAGGGTATCCGTTCTCTCTCCCTCCCTGGAAATGTTCACTGGAAACTAAAGCAAGAGGTTCAGATCAAAGTAACTGTGCTCTTCAGAAAGTTCCATTAATTAACTAAATTAAAGGAAGTTAAATGATGTTTGGAGGAAAGTCATTTTAGAAGGCCCAGGTCCAGGGACTGAGGTCTAAAACTTCTAATGTGGACTTTTAATGAAGCTTGGCAACAAGTTAAATAATATTAGAAATTGAGGGTTACCATATGGAAAACCAGTTGTTGCCTGAAATCAATCATTTCAAAGAAACATCTTGAAAGTAGACAGACATTTGGCTAGTATTTGCCTAGACCATTTAATACTAAAGATTAAAGCCCACGGGTCTGAGTAAGAATCATTTGACCAGTAGCCACGGTGAGTCATGGCCTTCTTAAGAATGAGGCACAAATGTTGAAGTCAGGATGTTGAGAACACTGGGCTTACTAATTTGCAAGGCAGGGCCATTGCCTCCAGAAGGGAATGTGATCAGGATTTCACGGCTCATTTTCCCGGTCTTTCCAACAGGTGCTGTTGAGTCATCTACGTACATAAGTGACTGTCCTGGCAGTTTCATGTGTTAGGATTAAATTTCCATTTGTTCCATCACTTTATGAACTGATTTCTACCATTGAATCAGATGTATCACTTCCTGTAGGAGTCAGGGATTTTTTTCGATGTTTGTCACATTGTGTGTGTTTTGCAAAATCTGTCCCAGCCAATCTGCAGGTTTTCCTGGATTGAATGGATTGTTTACAGGAGGGGAAGATTCAGGGCTCAAGGTCAGGGTTACAGAATTATATAAGGTTTCCTGTTTGGGCAGCTGGTCCACCAAGTCCTCAGGTTAGTGCAGACCAGGTCTTGCTGAAAAGGACGGCCTGCCTACAAGGCCTGGGGTAAGGATGGTGCCTTCCCAGGAGGGGGAAGGAAATGTGTCTTTTAAGTTTCTCTTCAACTAGATTTCATTTTTCGTCAGATGTCATTTCTCAGCCATACTTGACTATATCCTGTTAGGTGATTTTTTTTTTTTTCTGACCAGATTGAGAAAAGAATTAGTTGAGGGTGTAAGAACCACCTGCTCAGCATCGTTGTCTGTTTTATTCACGATGACCGCGGCGCTCGGGGCCTGTGTGGCACACAGTAGCACCGTGGTGAAGTACTTAGTACATGAAGGAAAGAACAGGGATGAGAAGATCCCTCCTGGAGAAAAAGAGGAAGGGACTAATAGAAGAGGGAGGTCACTGGGGTAGAAGTAAAATGAATACTCGGCAAAGCCATCCTCTGTGACCTTGGATATTGCAGTAAAATCTCCTGTCGCCAATGGCCACCTCTGTTTGGCATTGGCCAAGTGCTGGCCGAGTGCAATTGTGAGCGGCCGGCCTTTGCCATGAGCTAGGATGCAAAAGCCCAACCTAATATTAGCCGAGAGCAGTTGCTTCTGTGGAGTATTTGCCTAGATTCCTCCATCTTCTGTTTGGCTTTGGCCTTGGGCCCTCAGCAAATGGCCACATGAGAGGCCAACGATGCTAACTGCCCTTGTCCTGTGCAGCCGCCTTTCTTTGCCTTCTTATTCTGCTACTCTCTGCTTGCACAAGATGGGCATCTGAGAGCCAAGAACTTTCTTTACCTCCTGGTCTTATTTCATGAGAATTAGTATCAACTGCCCAATGGGACCTGGAGCCTGGAATACAAGGAAAAAATCTGGAATGGAATCACACAACCAAACAGGACTCTCCTGCCATGTCGTTGTGTGTCTGGTAAACAAAGGAGCACTCAAGCCTACCTAACCCCGGGATCTGTGTGGAGTAGCTGACGGTAGATGGGAGCTGGGTATCGGGCATGCATGGCCAACTTGAGCCCCTTGAGAAAGTGAGATGGCTGTGCAGAGAGAGTGGCGTGTGTACAAATCAGCATAGGTCACGAGTCCAGTCAGGTGAAGTCCTGGCTGAAACTTCCAGCTGGATTTGCTGGTAACCTCTGCTCACTGTCCACCTCTCTGGGCTTTGAGAAAGGGCAGCCCTGTCAGAGCCGCCCGCTTCTGCTGCCCTATGGACGGAGGGTCCGGAGGGAGGGCTTGGCCTGGAATAGAGGTTTTTGCACTAGGCGAGCTCAAATCCCCAAACCCGGGAAAACAGGATGTGTGGGGAAGTGGAGAAGAAAGAAAATGCATCCACCATTCCTTCCTGTTGGTTTCAGCATGATGAGGAATAATTACCTGGGCCTGGAGAGCAGGGCATGTGGGAGGCCACAGGGCGCCCTGGTGTGTGTCGTTAGGCAGTTAATTATTCATCCTTCTCCATTCCTCCTTCCTCCCTGAAACCCCCCTTTTCAAAGGGAAAACAGGAAAAGTGGGTTAATCTGTAGAACACCGTTTTTGCACCAGCCCACTCCGCCCAGGAAGGATACCATCCCGCCACTGAGTCTCAAATAACCAAATCGGTGCTTAAAATGACACTTCATTATCCAACTGGGTCCCAGACAGATGAGGACACAGATCCAGAGAACCTGTCCAGGTGTCTCCAGAGCTCTCTGCACACACCGTGCTTCAGACAGGAGTTCGGTCCCCCAGTTAGCCTTCACGGTCCATAGGTCAAGGGCCATTTAAAAGCTGCATTAAAAATTCTTCTTTGCAGTGGGTTTTTGTCATTTGGAAAACATGACATAAAAACAACCCAGGAAACTGATGAGGCCCTCACTAAAATCTGCATCAATTTACTCTGCCTGTCCCCACCATCATCCTGTTCACATGGATGAACGCTGGGACAGGCGCTGTACCTGGAATCCCAGTTCCAGAAGTGACGAGGAGGCTGGAGAGTGTGGGTTGTCCATGTTCTCCAGGGTCGAGTCCCATCAGGACCTGAGTTCCTCCCATCTACTTGGATTTGAAAGAGGTGCCTTACGGTTTTGTCTTTCAGATTTTTCTTTGAACCCTTATGAGAACACCATCTGTATCTAAAAGCCCTTATCTGGATCCCTTGGTTGCATGTACTTGGAACTGAGAACTTTTGGATTGTGGGACGCTAATATAGTGGACACACCCCCAGGGGGCTAGGGCAGCACCTCTTAATCACGTGCTCTAACCTGTTGGTCTGCGGGAAGGGATAGAACAGTCACAGTGCAAGTACTTCCAAGGTCAGATTTTGGAATGCAGATGATGAACGGCAGATGAAGGATGATGTTTTTAATTTTTTTTCTTATTTAAAGAATTTTTAAGTTTGTTTATTTTGAGAGAGAACAAGTGGGAGAAAGGCAGAGAGAGAGAGGGAGAGAGAGAATCCCAAGCGGCTTCATGCTGTCAGGGAAGAGCCCGATGTGGGGCTTGAACCCACAAACTGTGCAGTCATGACCTGAGCCTAACGCTTAACCGGCTGAGCCACCCGGGCGCCCCTGAAGGGATGATGTTTACCTGCTCCTTTGACAGTAAGCGCCCCAGTTGGGGACTTCCTCCTTCAGAGGCATCCCGGGCCCTGCCTTGAGCCTACAAAGAGGAGAGCCCATAGGTGCTGAGGGGTGGTGGTGGGCTCGGCAGTGTAGGTAGAAAAGAGAAATCCAAGATCAGGTTTGATGATACTTCTGACATTGTGTCTCTTCCCATGGCCGGTGTTGGAGTTCTGGGTGTTCACTGGTTTCACACACTGTGTACTCTGTCTTGAGCTTTGTGAAAGTGGTAGTAGAGGTGTCAGGAGGGGCTTTCAAGCAGCCTTTCCCCACAAGGTGGGATGCTGTCTACCTAAAGCCCAGAATGGAAAAGCCTGATGTGTTCTTGTAGGTAAACACTTCATATCTGCAGGATGGTGTGGATGTGTTTTTGCTCATCTTTTCCATCATTTTCTTCCCCATTCTCATCCCCTGCCCTCAAGCGGTAGTTCCTATGCAGCAAAATAAGTAAAACCAACATTCTTCTCCTTGACCCACTGTAATTTGTGCTGACGGGAGGGTGGTGGCTCTGTGCTGGTGTCCAGGCTGGGGACCGTGCTTATTGGCTACAACTTAGGATATTCGCTGAAAAGTGGATCTGCAAAGGCACCCTTCACTCCCCGAAGCCCTACCTAGTCCACACAGTTTGAAAATTGTTTTCAAAATGTACATTTTTGTGCTGCATTTCCAACCCAAGAGATTATAATAGAGATATTCCGTGTAAGAGCTTGAATGAAAGAATAAACCGATGGGCAGGTAGGCAGGCTAGCAAACGGCGGAAATACACAGATCAAGCACTAGAAACTTTTATCATCTAAAACAAGCACTGTCGTGCCCCATGATGTGGGATACCATTTTACTTCTCAAAAGGAACCAGAGGAAGTAAAGGCAAAACAATTTGATTATTTTGGATTTCTACTGCCCTAGGTGAAAGATTTGATCGAGTATAAACCCTTTGAAAAAGCAACTGTACCCACTGTGAATCTCCCAAGCCAGAGGAGGTTGAAAGAGTCGGTGTGTTGTATGACTGGGGCGGAGGCTTGTCATTTACACTGTTGGTAATTAGGATACAGCAATATGACTGCTAAGGTGCAGGAATGCGGAAAGACGAGGGGAAACCAGTGATAGTGTTCAGATCAAAAGTAACTACCAGTCAAGAGAAGGGAAATGGATCACCAAGAAGGGAAGCATTTGGATGGCCTCTGCTCAAAGATTCAGCCCATTTGCAGTTGCTGAGACCTTGTCAGGTCTCCAGATAAAGGCCAGGCTTGTCACCCTCAGGCACCTGGCTGAGAGGTAATAAAACGGTTGCCTTATCTTCTAAGGGTAGAGTTAGTCAAACCTCAGTGGTAATTATAGTAAACTGAAATTGCCTGTCATTTACCCCCCTCCTGCCTCCCCCCACAAAAAGGGAGGGAGGGAGAAAGGAAAAGGCTTAAGGCAGGAAACTGTCTCTTCTTGGATTTTAAAAGCAAGCAAGCAAAACAGCCAGTTTTCCTGGGAGTGAGAAAAACAGCCCGGCCAGGCTTCCCTCTCCTGGGGGTCAGGATTGCTGACAGCCCAGGGCCACGTGATGGTCTGAAAAAGAGGCTCAAGCTGAGGAAAATCCAAGAAATCTTCTTAGGAGTCTTCCTTTCTAAATGTAAATGACAGAGTCAGTGCTTTGCTAAGGAGGGAAGGAAGTCACAATCACACCGAGTGACTCATTCAGTGCTGTTAGCTCCGGGAGTTGGATAAAAAGTTTTAGCCAAAGCAGCAACAAATCTACTTTAAATACTAGCACAGTAAGGAAATTCCTCTCTTTCAGGCTGAATGCCACTCGCACAAAAGAACTCCTGTTGACATCTCATTTACAATCTCCCCCAGGACACCGACAAGACCATTTCAATAAACCCGGCTCAGAAACACCTATTGTTCTAAATCTTCAACGAGCAACAGGCTTCCACCACAACCTATTGTTTTGTAAAATAAAGGATTTAGAAGGAGAAGGATTGAGACTGGGGACGCCATGAAAAGAGGAAGGAAAAAAGTCCCTTTGACCCGATGCTGTCAGAGAGCGTGCAAGAAGAATGAAGTTAATGGATTTCCATTTTTATAAGAAGTGTGTAAGAAACGCCTGTTATGTTTCTGAACTGGTGATGGAGAATTCTAAATTTGCTGCCAACTTGGTACGTGGAGAAGCAAACCCCTGCCCACGGGTTTGCTAACTGAAAAGCCGCAGGCTATACTTACCCTATTCTCAGCCTGACCAAAGTTCTGATAACCCCAGTAGCGGAGCACCAGGTGAGTCTTTGATCTGAGCTTTTCCCTAGGAATTAGAGCCTGACCGTCTTTTCTAAGTAGAATTTCCAGGCTCATAGTCCCCTCCTCCTCCCCCATGAATGATTTCCTTTTTTCCGTCTCCACCATTTTACTCCCTCTTTGAGTAAAACTTGAACGCTCTTTGGAGTTATGTAATGTGGTCCCTAGATCGTTTTTCTCTGCTGTGCCTCAAATTCAGGGATGCATTTGTATTTACCCCCACACAGGCCATTTCTCAAATGCTCCTTATCTTGACCCTCATAATAAGTCTTGCAGTCAACATTACCCATCTCTGCAAATGATCCCTTTATCTACCCATCGCTCAAGCCCAAACTCTGGGCATTATCTCTAATTCCTTTGAGTCCTTCTGTCTTCTCTTAAACCCATCTGAAATTCTTCTACTTCCTACAGTCCAGCTTTCTGCTCCCCTAGATCCTATTACTTCCCCTCCGGAGGGTCCCCGCAACTTCCTAAGTCACAGTTTCTAGAACTGCCAGTTGTGACTTACTCAGGGGTCATGACGTCCATTGAGGTGGGTGATGCAGTTTCACCATTTAAAAAGTGAAGTAGATTAGAAAATGTGAGGTGTGTCAAGCAAAGTCAGTACTGTTTCTCGAACCTTGTTTCAGGTTTCCGTGTGCATCCAGATCCGTGTAGATTCTGGGCAACAGGAGAAAAACGAGTTTGGTTTGCCAGGATACTTTGAGAAATCCTCTTCTAATTGGTCTCACCAGGTCTGTTTTGTCCCTGCTTCCCACACTGTTGAATACACTTAGAGCAAGGGTGGAGATACTGAACAACCTGTCCCTCTCCAGCTGATAGGCCTGCCCCCAGGGGAAGGTGTCGCATAAAGTCCAGGGCTTCGGAGATTCTGAATAAGTTGGTTCCTGCTCACCTTCCAAAAGGGCCTTGGCACTCTACATCCTCCTGACGGCTTTTACTTTTAGTTATTAAAACCATCAAGTTCCCTGGAAAGACAAAGGGGACTTCAAAAATAAAATAAAACCACAACCTTCTTAATGGATTCCCGCCTAGGCAGCCCTAACATTTAAAAGAACAGTCTTGCAGCAGGTGGGTGGTTCAGTTGGTTAAGTGTTTGACTCTTTTTTAATGTTTTATTTATTTCTGAGGGAGAGAGAGAGAGAGAGAGAGAGAGACAGATAGATAGACAGACAGCGACAGCATGAGCAGGGGAGGGTCAGAGAGAGAGGGAGACACAGAATCTGAAGCAGGCTCCAGGCTCTGAGCTGTCAGAAACCACGAACCAAGAGATCATGACTTGAGCCGAAGTCAGACGCCTAACTGACTGAGCCACCCAGGGGCCCCAAGTGTTGGACTCTTGATTTCTACTCAGGTCGTAATCTCTTGGCTCGCGAGATTAAGCCCCACGGCAGGCTCTGCTGCTCTGGGCTGACTGTTGTCAGTACGGAGCCTGCTTGAGATTCTCTCTCCCTCTCTCTTTGCCCTAAACCTGCTTGTGTGCACACGTGTGTGTGTGTGTGCTCTCTCTCTCTCACAAAATAAATAAACATTAAAAAAAATAAAAGAATAGTCTTGCTGTAGTTTGCTACTATGTGGAGAGATGGTCAGATCTCCTTTTTCATGTTGGAAATGAAAAATTAAAGAAATCTGCACATTCCTGACCCCTTGTAGTGGTTATTCTACGAAGGCACATGATACAGATACAACCTTCCTGAAGGTTACAGCAAGAGCATCCTTATCCCTTAAAAAGTTAAAAAAAATATATTTATTTTTGAGACAGAGAGAGGGAGAGGAGGGGAGGGGCAGAGAAAGAGTAAGACACAGACTCCGAAGCAGGCTCCAGGCTCTGAACTGTCAGCACAGAGCCCAACGTGGGACTTGAACCCACGAGCTGTGAGATCATGACTGGAGCCAAAGTTGGATACCTAACCCACTGAGCCACCCAGGTGTCCCAAGAGCATCCTTATCTCTTGCTTAGTGCGGGGCTCATATGCCTTGACCCATAACCACCCTCATGGTGAAAGCTGCATCTCCCTGGGGTGAGATGTGGCCCCAGTTCTTACAACCCCTCCCCCATCCTTCCCAATAAGAACCACACTGAAGTCCCTGCTTCTTTGTTGCTTGCCTTTTGGAATCTGGGTTTAGGTAGCCTGCTCCATAAAGAAGAAAGTCCACAGAAATTCACCTCTTTAGGGAAAAAAAAGAAACAAAACAACAGTGATACTGCTTTGATTTTTTTCCTAATGTGGTATGTTGTACGCTATAATTTATAAGCCAGTGTGTTGCTTTTTCCTAGAAACTGACCAGCAGTAGCTTGCCTTTTTTTGTAGAAAATTTGTCAGAAAATTATAAGAAGAAATTGACTTCAAAGTCCATTTTAACAAAGAAAAAGAGTCACTACTGTAGCTCTGTATAAAAGGTATACAAGACCCTACTTTGACATCAAGCAGTTATAGCCAAGTGATGTGCTTAAGGATGATCGTTATTTTATCTTTTGGGTATCTCTGAATTTTCCAATTAAAAAATCATAACTATTGCAATGATAAAGACGTAGAGATATCAGAATATAAATTAGATACACTGTTATGTCATCACTGTTGTGATACCTGACTATATTAGTTTTCTTTTTATCATATGTATTGCCGTATTTTGTTTTTAACCATTTGGTTTTGAAGGAAATTTTGTATGTTTACCACATTTGAAAAAAATAATGAAAACCCCCAAAGTGATTTGATATTTTACTGTCTTTAAGAGCTTAAGGACTCCTGACCCAGAAGATCCCACCAAATGCTGGCCTATAAATCCCAATGTTTTCAGACCTAACGACTTATCATTTCCAGAATGCCATCTTTTTACACATATTTAGGCCCGTGGCACACATTGTTGTTTGCTTTCTTATAACCATTCCTTTTGCCAACAGGATCTCAGTGCTGTTGACTTTTGCAAGCAGCCACGACTTTTGGGAAGGTTAGCCCCTTCCCAGATTTGGAGGCTGAATCTTCATTGAAGGGAAGACCGATGGGAATGCTTCTTGGAAGGATTACCTCCCTGGTTAAAGCCACACAAGTTGGGGACATCCCTTTTCTTCCTCTGGATTTTGGCATCACCAAGAGATACCCTGAGCTGTGGCTGCCATCTGGGGACCACAAAGAGCATCTGGCTGAGAAGACAAGCCACAGTGAAGATGATGGGTGGAAAGATGGCAGGAAGCTGGTTTGAATGTATTCATTGGCCGCCTTACCTCTAGATTTGCTGTTATTTGAGAAAATGAATGCCTTTCCCACCTGAGTCACTTTGATTTTATTTCTAAAATTTTATTTGCTTATGTATTTATTTGGCTTGGAGTTATGAAAATGAATTTATATATGCTAAGTGTCCTTCCTTCCTCCAGTACCCCTCGTCATCCATCGAGATTCACTTCGTGTAGGGTGCCTGGGTGGCTTAATTGGTTAAGAGTCAAACTCTTGATTTCAGCTGAGGTTGTGATCTCACGGGTTTGTGAAATTGAGCCCTCCATCGGGCTCTGCACTGACAGCATAGCGGAACCTGATTGGGATTCTCTCTCTCTCCCCCCTGCCTAAATAAATAAGTAAACAGTAAAAAAAAAAAAAAAAGATTCACTTCATTTGTGTTTCATTATCACCTTCTACCTGTCTCTGTTTTATTTTATTTATTTTTAAAAAAATTTTTTTTTGATGTTTTATTTATTTCTAGGAGAGAGAGAAAGAGAGACAGCATGAGCAGGGGAGGGTCAGAGAGAGAGGGAGTCACAGACTGAAACAGGCTCCAGGCTCTGAGCCGGCAGTCAGCACAGAGCCCGACGCGGGGCTCGAACCCACGAACCGCGAGATCATGACCTAAGCGAAAGTAGGACGCTTAACCGACTAAGCCACTCAGGCGCCCCTACCTGTCTCTATTTTAAAACTCATTGGGGCGCCTGGGTGGCTTAGTCGGTTAAGCGTCCGACTTTCGCTTAGGTCATGATCTCGCGGTTCGTGGGTTCGAGCCCCGCGTCGGGCTCTGTGCTGACTGCCAGCTCAGAGCCTGGAGCCTGTTTCAGTCTGTGACTCCCTCTCTCTCTGACCCTCCCCTGC